ACTTTAGTCCCAAGTCAGACCACAAACAGCATTAATGCACTTTAATGCCTGCATGTGTATATTCTGGCCTATTTCTGGTTAAATTTGCCTAAATTTAATGCAATGTAAATGCATGTGTAGATGTGCCCATTATGTATATAGCTGTCATAATGTAGCCCTAAGTACATTTTTGTTGCCCTTGAATCTCATATTGCCAGCTGACTTTGTACATAGCTGTAGCAGAACTCAAATCATTCCTATCTAGGTGGTTTGCAACCTGCTTAATTTGTAGCAGGTTGCCAAGGAAAGGAGGGGCTGTGAAGCTGCTTGCTGTGGGCTTTACTTGAGAAGGTACTTCTTCTCCACTCAGCTGGAGCGCAGCTCTGGTGCTGTGCAGTGGATCAGAGGAAGAGTGACCCCTAAACAAAAGCTGCAGCAATCAACTGGAGCAACCTCAGTAGCCCCACAACTTTATTTGGCACATCTCTATATAACCTCTGACAAAGCCTCATCTTCACAAGGGGCTCAGGAACCTAACTCTATTGACCACCTGGGTTCTACTGTATTAAACATATTATTAGGGACAGGCTGTGCTTGAGCAGTATCTTACTCTTCAAGCACTTTCCCATTGACTGTGGTGTGATTTTTTTTCAAGAGAAATAGCTTGCCTGCTGTGAGAACTATTTGAAGAGTAAAATATTACTCATCTATTGCTGTAGCAGCATTTTATGCCCACTGCGTACTAGTATATGTGACTACTCAGAACAGCAACGATGACTTACGTGACATCAGGATAACATGCACACCTGTGAAGTTACAGCTTGCCCTTTTGAGAAATTAATTTATGCAGTGCATGGGGGCCTTGCTACCCTCTTCTCCATATTCATGTGTATACTGCAATACTTTCTCAAGGCTGCATTTGAAAAATGAAATGCCAGTGTCTGAAATCAGCCCAAAAAGTTCCTCCTCATAGTATAGATAGGGTATCTAATCTGACAGACCTGCCTCAGCTTCAGACACCTGACTTTTTAGGAAGGCCAGAATGTGGGAATAGGGTCAATACAGTGCAAGTTTTCTGCTTCAGTTTTTACTATACAAGTCCAGTATTGGCACTGCTATTAATGTGGCTGAGATAGCCTTATAATATGGCTTTCCTGATGTCAGCACAATAATACTAGGGAATGCAAAGCAATGTAAAAGATTAGCATGCAGATCAGCAAAGTTAGTGCCAATGTCGCAAAGCCATGACACAATAATTATCTGTTCCATAAACAGTCTTTGACTCATATTACATTTTTGCTCTTTAACACTTTTACCTTGTGCAGAATATGGATTTCTTCATTTGCACATAACTATGGTGGCTTTTAAATGTTACATTTAATAATAGTAGTAATAATGATGATTAAAAGGAATAATGAAATATTAATACTTTGTACTCAGAAAGATCTTTCATTCAGAAAGTCTTCAATAAACATTAAGAAATTTAGCCTCACAATATCCATGTGAGGTAGGTATTACCATCCCCATTTACAGGTGGGGAAACCGAGGCACATGTAGGTTAAGTGAGTAGCCTGAAGTCGCACTTAAAGACTGTCTCACAAGCAAGAATACCTAATTCCCACAGTACCTAAGTTCTATCTCTCATGTCTTAGCCATAAGATCATCCTTTCTAACTAATTAATTGAATATGAGTATATATAGACAGAGATTACTTGTGTGGGTGCCTGTGTGCATAGATAAAGATGTGTATGCACATAACACAGGTGTATATATTTGTGTGTACCTGCCTGCCTGCACATATACAAACACATGTATAAGCGTGTCTGTGGGTGTATTTACCTCTTCCCTTTAAAAAAAAAAGAAAAAAAGATGGCAGGGACAGAGTTAAACAGCAAAGCTACTACCAGTATGAATTTTCATTTAAAAATAAACACACATGGCTTGGGAATGCCATTTTTTCAGTTTTAAAATAATTCCAGTATAAAGGAATTCTTGCCAATAAATCAAAAGACTTGTTTTATTATCTAGTGGTTATCAATACAAATATGACAATACTGATGGCTCCTCAGAAAAGCATTTTGCCATATTCATAAGCCGCATCAGACCAACCTCCACAGGCACATTGCCAGAATTATATTAATTTTTGAAAAATGCTTTTGGGATTACAAACACTTTTTACATTTTAAGGATTAAAATCATAACTTGCAGAGTCTTCTGCAAGAGTTGAGTATACTACTGTACAACAGATGTTTTCTGCCACCAGAGATGAATAAAACTGTTGCAAATGTAGAAAAATAGTTGCCAAGGCATGAAATTAGTGTATGTGAACTAGTCCATACAGTTCCCTTAGCCAGCTAGCTGAGATCAGCAAAAAAGTCCTTAAGGCAGAATTTCTGTTCTCTACATCTGTAGCAAAACTAAGCGGGGTAACTGAGGCAGCAGCCCTGAATGCTAACTCATACTGGGAAGAAATGTAGAAATAAAAGCTGCCATCATTTCTGGCCAGCTGTGCAGCTGCTGCCACAGGTGCAGCATTCCCCCATTACACCTCTGCTCTATGTTCTTCAAAAAAGCGAGTCTTCTGCTCCCCAGACTGCACAACCAGCTGCTTTGCACTCACTTAGCCAGAAAAAGGTTACATTGTTTGTATCATCACAGGATTATTTCTAGGCCATTTCCTCAAAAAAGCATAAGGAAAAGGTGAGTAAGTTATGCCTTTGGTGCAACAATCCCAAAGGCTTTCCAAGCATAATGCATTTTCCACTGGCACTTCTTTGCAGAAAATCCAGACTCTGACTGTCAGGATTGTACCTAGTCCTATGTATTACGTGGATCAATTTAAGTGTTGCGTGCTTCTGTGTGGGTTAGTTTGTCGGGCCTCTTAGAGCCAAAGAATTTTCTGAGATGATAACAGAAATTTTCCTGAGCAGTTTGTATTTATTTTCAGGCAGTCGCACCTTCGTGGTCTAATACAGGTAGCTCCGAAACCAGATTTTTTTTGTGCTTTACACACGGGTTTCTGCAGGCACGTGAGAATCTCTAGTGCCATATTGCTAGCATGTTGTTTCTGATGGAAACGTATTCCATGATATCATTAATTTCATGGACACATGGATAAGTGACCTAATAGATTGGAGAATTTGTAGATAGTACCATCCTGTCTCACCAGCAGTCCCTATCTGCTGTTTGTTTATTCAGTAGAAAGTCGTTATCTATATCCTTTTTAAGGAAGGTGGTATTTTCACATAGCTGTAAGCATCAGCATGGCATTCAGTGAGCAAAGAGCTAGTCATCCCCCTACTGAAGGCAAAAGGTGAAGAGATTTGATAGGTTTCTGAGGGACTGCCCTAATTTCAGGCAGCTATGATGCATGGGGTGCCAAAAATTTTAATATATCACATTGTGATCCATTTCCTACAAGAATCCATAAAAACACATACAAACAACCAGCAAGATGTGGATTTATCAGACTTTCCCTCCCCTAGGGAAACAAGGATGGGATAAGAAAACTCTCAACTCACCCCACTTGCCTTTCTGAAATCTGCTCCTTTGAGCTGTCCATTGCCCTTTCCTGTAGAAATATGGCCCAGTTCAATAAGGGTGAAAGAATGACACCCTGTGGTAAGAGAAAAGAAGTGCAGCCCCTTAAACCACACTGGATCCCTCCTATGATCCTTCCTGATTGTCACACACAAGAAAGGTGGTGAAGTTCAGTTGAGAGTCTTCCTATCCCTTCATTAAGGCAGGGACCGAACACAAAGGGAAACTCCAAGTGTCTGTAGGACTAGTGTGCTACACAGTCTTGTTAGGGGGGGGGAATTCTTATACACCTGGGGGCTCTGTCCTAAAGATAGAAAGTTAAAAAAAAGATATAAAAGAGATACTTAAAAGAGGTATTTACAGTGTCTGGGGTTTTAAAAACAGGAAAAGGGGAGTCAGCACTGTTTATTATATAGTAACCGGTCTTGCAACTGCTATTCTGGAGGTGCTCAGCTAGAAGACAATGAAGGAGCAACTTAAACCAGTGTCTGGAAGTGAAGGCACCTGGTCTGGAAGTAGCATCAAGCTGGCACTTTTTTCCTTTCTCTTGGTGATGACCATAAGAGATAGACATGGGGCTGAGGATTTATCAAGGCTCATTACATTTACAAGAGCAACAGGTCCTAAGACATTACCTCTTCAGTCAATAGCAGGGCCTCAACCAGTGAGCAGAAGCTCATTAGATTGTCTCTCACATTTGGAAGTTAGGAGATAAGACTGAGGAGGAGCTAGGGAAAATATCTGTCTCCTTGCTCATTCTTCTCTGAGTACAGAACCAGACCAGGAAGTCACAGCTTTTTAACCCAGTAAAAATATGGAGCATTCAACCAGCCATTTGGTTTGTGCTAGTCACTGGATTTTAAAGTCAGCTCTTCAGGACTGAAGAATCCCCATCTTCTACTGAATACCTCAATAAAAAGAGTTAAGATCAATCCTTCCAAAAATGAACACAAAGAACTAGAACATGTACAGGAAAGAGAAAATATGGCATAGAGTGCGCCTAGGGCTACAAATCTGCTACCTTAGTTTGAGTTTGAATTGTAATAAGTTCCCAGTGTATTGTATGAACACAAGATATATTATCCTTCTCCGCGGTAACAGATGATGGACACTTGCTTCCACAGGACTGTTTAGGATCCTTCTCTTCACCAGTGTTTACAGCCATGCTTGCAATTCTGTGACTTCCCCAGGGAAAAATAAAAAGATACAGAAAAGAGTCTTTCGGTTTTTGTATTCAGTTGCAAATATCAGCTAACCAGGTAACTGTGCATCTCTCTGGAGTTAATGCTCAAAACCACGCCTGAGTGATTGCCTAAGAAAATATAAGAAACAAAATGTTTGTATTAGTGTTTGCAGGCATTTTGAAATATATTTCCCTTTTATTGAAGGGACAAGTCAATCAAATAAGATGATGGTTTGATCACACAACACATCAGGTGAAGGTGGTGCAGCAGCTCAGTGTACCTACAGCATATGTTCTGCTTTAGTGCCTTAAAGCTTTTGCTCATGATGAGTTTGTGGTGAATTCCTAGGGTTTCTATCCCAGTGACAGCATAAGGTGGTTCTCTTTGCAGCTTAAAAAGGTGGTAGTTGCCTTGAGGGGTGCAGGTGAGGGAGGAGAATGGAACCGGAGGCTTCCATTCAACATGCCACTGACCTGGGACTGGACACTGACCGGCATCAGCAATAAGGGAACTCTGTAGCTGTTCAAGTTGCCACCTCTCCCAGAAGGAGTCACTGCAAGGTAATGGTGTTGAGGAGTCCCAAGGTGGGGGTTGCGATAAAGTAGGCAACATAAAATATATAGAAAACAAAAGAAGTGGATGGGTGAGTCTGGAAATACTGTACTGTGAAAATTCAAAAGTTATGAGAAGAGAGAGAACAAACAGAAAACTAGGCTCGTAAAATTCTGCTGTGCATGGAGCGATCACCCTAGCAGCGGTGGGAAGAGGAAAAAAAAACCCATCAGAATAAGTAGGACTCTCCATAAGACCTTCTGCAAGTAATGTTGTGAAAGAGAATTTAATATTACAGTAGGGATTATAACATATCTCATACCTCAAGCCAGAGAAAATAGAACAATATTGAGACAAATAGAAATGTTTTCTTTGCAGTGATGAGAACTATTGAAGCTATATAAATATTGGAGATAAAGAAGTCTGGTGTGGAGAAGTATAGGTTTCTGTCTTAAAAATACTCTTATGTTTTAAAACGGCATAGTAGCTGATAAATATAGATGGTTTTGACCCAAGCAAATGAACTCTTCATGCTCCACTACAATATCTGCTGGTGCTGAAAACCTGGCCAAACTACAAATCACATTTAGATCTGCATTTTCTAACCTAATTTCAGGCAGCATCGTTAAAAAATCTTGATCTTACGTTCCTTACTTAATCTGCATTCCCTACTGACTGCAACAGAAGTTTCCTCAGAGTAAGGAGTACAAGATCATATCCCATGCAGCCTCAAAGTGAACAAGAAGGACTATTTTGAAGGTGTTATAAATCAGGGTAGAATTTCTTCATGCCAGTGACCTGTCCCAAGCGGCCATATATGAATAAATAGTGAGTATTTTTTCCACAACTATGAGAAGATTGTGTTTGAATAGCACCTGATATAAGCCAAGGTGTTTGAGAGCCAGATTCCAGTCTTGGAGGTGCTTAAAAGGGACTAGTGTGAAATCTAGGTGCCAAAGAATAATTCAGAAGCCACAAAATCAGTAGGCACCTAAGTTCAAGTAGTGCCTCTATTTTGGACCGCAAAATTCCTTAGGTACCTACAGTTGGGCTTCTGCACATGCTCAGAAGTGACCTGCTAGCTTGACCATCTAGACATCTACCTCCTGCCTAATCTTTGTTGTAATCCAGTTTGATGCTGGAAAGTGCCTAAATCTCTACTGAGCAGAAATAAGTGTTCTGGATCAGAAGTTAACTGAGACGCACAATGTACCATCTGAATCAATTGTTTAAACCCTTCAGACTGATGGAGGTGTTTCCTATTTGTTGTATAGGCTCCTATGGATTTTCTATAGTGCTCTTTAGAGGCGATTCTTTCCCTCTCTCTGTGTAGAGCACTCAGACACCTAGACATGGTCAAATCAGATTATTCTTCTAGGCTGAGACATCTAGATTGTAGGCCCTGGAACACCTAAATGTAGTCACTTGATGAAATTGGGTCTGACCTCTGTGCCTCCTACTCATTTTTGGCAGACTCCACTTTAGAGACCAAGGTCTCTGGAGGTATTTTAATCCAAACATTTTTTTTTTTTTACAAAAAACAAAAGGATGCAGTTTTGCAGTTACAATCAAAGTTGCCTTTGTGAGCTTCGAAAGAAATCAGTAATGATTTTAGTGCATGGAAAATTGTCAAAATTTGTACAAAAACATATACAACTATTTTGCAGGTGAATTTTGCACGTGGCTTTTTCCTTTTTCTAAATAGCTATGTCTCTGGGAAGCAAGAAGTAGTATACAGTCCAGCTAATGGAAAAGGAAGAAAACAACAGTAAAAGACAAAGACAAACGGGTTAAAGAAACAACAAAAGGTAGACAAAGAAAGCCTGCCAAAAAGTTTGTCCCATCTTCCTCATGGTGGATTTATGAAACCTTCTGTCTACATAGTTGTCCCCTTCACAGTGTTAGAAGTCTTGGAAACTTAGGGTCAGATGTTCCATTTTCACAGGATTGGCAGAAATGCACCTGAATGGTGTTACTGTGTGTTACATTTTTCAGGCAATTCTAAATTCTCAGTACAGTTGGAGTATTTTATAGGAAATGAAATACTTAGACAATAATTATAATCATGGGCTGCCAGGATGAGCACTTTCATCAGATCTTGAATCATTTACTCTACTTTCATAGAAAGATTTCTACATGGAGATCACAGCCTCTGCCCAATGGATATTGGCAGTTCAGGACTGAAAATGGGAAAATTTCATCGAGTTTTCCAACTTAGAAATTAATTTGATATGTGTAGGAGAGAGTACATTCTCTTCCACTTCAAATAATATAACAAATATACCGCTGAAGTCAGGTATAGTCTTCATTAAGGAAATATTCATTCTGCACATCATTTTACTTCACATGAAATTCATTATATTCAGTATTCAAGGCCTCAATGAGATTGTTTAAGTGCTAGTAAAGTTGAGCTATGCTGCTTACTGTATTATCCTCCTTATGTTGTTTGCAGATTGCATGACACTAATTATACTATTTTATGTAATGTAGTGTGTGGTCTAAATGATGTGTCATAACAATCAATAGCCTTGGCGGAATTTCAAACCAAACAGAATGAGAGAAGATAAAATTAGAAGATCTCCTGGTAGGAGTTTACAATTTGCTTTCTCCTGAAGCAGAAAATCAAAAAGCTGTAAGTACAAATAAACTTGTAAAAATTACTGTCCAAGAAGACAAAATAAAAGTTAATAAAGTGAAGGTGAAGTTACCTCTTGCGTTACCTAGTGTTTGAGAGTCCATATCATCATCAATAAACTCCTCACCCTGGATGATGTTCTGAGTGTCCTCACTGTGATTAACAGGGCTGGTCATCTCCTGTTCTTTTTCATTGTGCATTTGGGCATAGACATTTCTGCCTGGCAGTTTCCTAAACAGTGTAGGGGGAATAAAGAGATCCATTGATGGAATTTAATTACCAGTGAAATAGTGTACAATTAACTTCAGGCCCCTACGGGAAAATCCACTAAGATTAAATAACAAATAATAATAGGTTCACAAAGTATCACTTAGCCATGTTTTACAGTACTGCAGCATTTGTTGATCTTTTCAGGTTAATGAATCCTAATTTGAAGTAAAAATTTTCATGACCTTTAAAATTAAAGAGTAAAAGTCCATTATACAATACCAACGATAAGATCATAGAATTCATCTCTATGTGTGCTTCAAAAGATTGAATGGATGTTTGATCTTCAAGGTCAAGGGTGAGTGACAAGAGGGGGCATCAGATATCATTTGCTCTGGGTTGTAATAAAATTGTAAGCATCTCAAAAGACTCCCCCTTCCACAAATCACTTTTCGGTCCACTGGATGGGAAACATTGCACTACAGCATCCCTGAGATCATACCAATTTAAAAGCTAGGGAAGATATGTGACCTGCCCAGAGGTCATACAGAATCAGAGCCTCCACTGGGAATAACAGCAATGTGACATCATAATGTAAGTGCCACAGCATCGCCATCAGCTTCTCATCTGAGATAGTCAGAATGTCTGAACAATATTAAAAAGTAGTAAAACGGTTTATTTGGAAAGCATAAAGTGAAGCACTTTATCACCCATTCCTGATGCTAAGTCTCTATATCAATGATTTTTAACTGGGGTTTCACTGAACACTTCAACGGGGAGGCAAGGCCCTTTCAGGGGTGCTGCGGCATGGGTGCTGCTGCCAGGGTGTCCAGGTGGAACTGCCTCCCTCCAGCGTCTCATGCACAGCTGGATAAGCCTAAAGCACATGGAAGCACTCACAGAGCAGACAGAGCTGCCTTGCACACCTCTGTTTCCAGAAGTGAGGGGGGAGGCTGACTGGGACAGGCTGCAGCAAAAGTTCTCCTGCCTGCTTTAGGCTTATCTGGATGAGCCCAAGGCACCCGGGGCAGTTCCACCTGGCTGTGATGGTGACAGCAGCACTCCAGATCCTAAAAACAAAACTACAGAAGCTTCAGCATAACTATTCAGTAAGAAACTCTGAGTTCTATGAGCAAGATATTTGAAAATGCATTTATTTTCTTCCATGAAAGAACTGGAGTGCTAATTTGAACATCGAGCTATTGCAATGTTATGTACTGCATCTGTATTCGACAGCAGATTTGAGGAATGGAAGGATGCTCCCTGTCTCTCACCAAGCAGACACCTTTGATTTTAAGGGTAGAGGTCATGAGCTTCATTCCTCACTCTGTAATAAGCTGGTGATCATGGCTGTCAGTTTTGTGTTTGACCATAGATCATGCAACAAACAAGTCAAAAGGAAAAGTGGTGCTGAATTGTCCTGCTTCTGAGCTCCTTCAGTTGTGTAGTGACAATGAGTAGAAAAAAAACAACACAATTTTAAGGTAGCTCTCTAAAAATGGACAACTTCACCTCTGTACTCTAACAGCCATATGAAAGCTGGAAAAATACATGAATTGCTCTGTCTGCCCTAGACATTTCTGAAATGACCTGGGTTTAAATGTCATTTCAAAAGAAATGTTCTATTCCAGCTGGCATCATTTTGGTTTGAGTTTAGAAGTTATTGGATCAAATGTTATTTATAATGACAGATTCTGTTCAAAATATCACTAGCCACTTTCTATTGTAAAGTAACAGGAAAAATATCACAGGAAAATATAAGCAAAAATTTTGAAAAATATAATAATAGAAAATGTTAAACAATCAAAAAGATCAAAAGAAATTTTTCCCTATAATTTGACCTGTCTGTGGGATGAATTTGATCCGATGTGTTTAAACATAATGGAAGGCAACTTCAAAGAAGTCAAACAAAGAAAAATCACTAGCAGAAGGGTTTTTTTGTACCAGAGAACGAGTGAACCTCACTTATTGGTTGACTGGAAGGACTGAGAAAGGACAACGGGTCCACTAACTGAGTTTTAGTGGCACAAGACCAAATTAACAGATGCCCATGCCCACTATGCTTCCTCCAAGTAACCTTCATTTCTTTTTATAATCTCTGCAAATAAAGAGTCAATGTATCAATATATCAACATTAAAAAACATGCTCATGACTATGTTGGTATATGAGTATTAACACAAGGCTGTTTTCCTGTTTTCAATGTTGGGGACAATATAACCATTTAGTGCATGGGTCTAGGCAAAAAAAAAAAAAAAAAACACACAAAAATTAGTGTAAAAACGTGGCATTTGAACCCTTCTGTTTTGTATTAGCAATATTCAAATTGAAATCACATTTATCTGAAAACAGAAAATGTTTAAACAAGATGTCCTTTTTACCATTTACTCTTGATCTGAAAAATGTATGCTCTTTGGATTGATCCTCTGCTGGAAACAAATACCTATACTGAGCAATTCACTTTGAATATCTTTAGCTGTTTTATTTTAAGCACAAGATATGGAAATTCAGATGTCTACTCTGAGAACTACAAAAAAAAAAGAGAAAATGTAATCCTCTATCATTCATGAATTCATTAAAATGCTGTTTCAGACTGATATCCTGGTCCTACATTAGGGCTCTGTTTTTCCTATGTTGCATCTTTAATCATTCTATAGTATATAGTGTTTACATTTTAAAACATTTAGCAGCATGAAATAGTTGAGGAAATGAGAGCTATATGATCTAAATATTCACTAGGCTTTCTGAAGCCATTAATTATTGGCTTTTATACAGTTTTCTTCATTTTCCAGAGGCTAGCTTCAAAGTCTATGAAGTATTTAAAATAAAGAATATTATGATGTATTTTTGGCACTGAAATAAAAATAATAACAATAATAATACATTGAAGAGAAGAGTTTGCCATGGTTTGGACTTTATTATGTTTGCATTAGTGCTCAAATGAATAATTTCGTTTTATTTTAGAGCCCTCATAATTTACTTGCCTCTTTCATATTGAAAATACATGCTATTATTTTGATTTGAGAGGAATTTTTTAGGAAATATTATGGATCATTAAATTAGTGGCTGTTTTCACAAGTAAAATGGCTGGGACTAGAACTATATTCTCACAGAACATAAAAGTAATCCAGGCAAGAGGAGAAAAAGATAGGTTTGCTTCTGAGATAGAAAATGAGATGGAGAGTCAACGATGCAGAAAGATAACATATCTCTCCACAGACTAGAAACCATCCAGGAGAGGATGCATATACCAATAATGTTATACAATGATACCCAAGCAGAGGATGAATGGAGATGGGTATAGAAAACAATGCATTCTCTTAAGCAAACTGGGCAAATATAGGCTAGAGTAAGCTACTGTAAATTGTTAATACAACTGGGTGGAAAATTGTATGCAGAGCATAGCTACGATGGCTTACTAATAGACTGGCAGGCTGAATCGAGTGGGGTATAGACATTTACTAAATGTAGAGACTTCAGAGCACAGGATTAGAATCCAAAGTGACCTTGAAAAATTGGGAAATATTTTGAAAGAGAAAAAAATTCAACAAGGATAAATAAAAAGTACTACAATTTAGTAAAGACTAATCAATTGTGGAGATACAAAATGGGGAACTACCATATAGACAGGAACTCTTCAGTAGATCTTCTAATAGGATCATAGGAGAGTAGGGCTGGAAGGAACCATGTGATATCATTGAGCATTTATACACATATTTTTTAGTCCCACGATGCACCAGAGATCTGCTGCTTCAGAGCAGACTTGAATAATCGAGTCTGCCCCACACACAAGCTGATGTGCACTGCACTGCATCACATGCAGTGGTATAAGTGGCGAAATGTGTGTCAGAAAATGGTGGTGGTGCACTTTTGAACTAAAGCACCTTCTGTATGTTTTAGTTCAAAAGTGCAGTGCCTCCATTTTCTCAGCACTGATGTGCATTTCGGCACTTATACAACTATATGTGTTGCAGCACTGGAGGCTTTTCAAAGCGCCCGGCACTGCAACACTTGCATGTGTAAAAATGCCCATTTAGTCCAGTCCCTGCTCAAGGAGGATCATCCCTGACTAAACCATCCCAGTCAAGCGTCTATCCAACCTGCTCTTCAAAATTTCCAGGAATAGAGATGCTATAATTTTTCTAGGTAGCCTGTTCCTATACTTGAACAGCAAGTTCCTCCTAATCTCCAACCTAAAATTCCCTTGCTGCAGCTTGAGGCTATTACTCCTAGTTCTGTCCCCTACAGCCACAGAGAAAAGCCCATCTTCATCCTTGCCATAATTGCCCTCCAGGTATTTGAAGACTGTTATCAAATCCCCCTCAGTCTTGTTTTCTCCAGACTAAATAAAGTTAGTTCTTTCAGCCTTTCCTCAGAAGTCTTGCCTCCTAGACCCCTAAACAGTTTTGCCACTCTGCACTGGACATTTTCCAAAGTGCCCACATACTCCTTGAAACATGAAGGTTGAAAACTGAACATGGCATTCCAGGTGTGGCCTCATCGCTGCTGAATAGAGTAAAAGAATCACTTTCCTTGATTTGCAATGGACACTCCTGTTAATACAATTCAGTACATTGTTGGGTTTTTTTGCAACAAGAGCACACTCTTGGCTCATACTCATCTTACAGTCTATGGTAATCCCCAGGTCCTTCTCTATAGTACTGTAGCCTAGCCACTCATTCCCCAGCCTATATTTGTGCAGGCAATTATGCCATCCCACGTGAAGGACTTTGCATTTGTCCTTATTTAATCTCATCTGATTGATTGCAAACATTTTCTCCAGTGTATCCAGGATTCTGGATCCATCTAGAGTATCTGCAACTCCACCCAACTTCTTGTCATCCAAAAATTTGCTAAGTGCACACTTAATCCCACTGTCTAAATCAGGGGTTCTCAATCTCTGGGCTGTGGCGAGTCAGCTGCGGGTCCAGCCGCGGGTCCACAGCACGGTCAGCTGCCGGACCGGAAGTGACTGCGGACTGGCAAACCGCAGCCCCCCCAGAGCTGGGCAGAGAAGGCCTGGCTC